TGTGTTCTGGCCAGCGTAGTGCCTTAGTGCCTTGAATTAGCCATATACAAAATTCATAATATGTGATTCCGCACTGTAATGTAATACGGAAAAATTCATCAAGCATGCCTCAGGCACTCTGTACATGGACAAAATGAGCTGAAGTGAATTAATGGTCACAAGATTTGTTGACTTCAGAGCAGGAAATGAGTGTGGAAAGTAACAGTGGTTATGGAATTTTAAAAGTGGTAGGCTAGTTTCAGTGTTGGGAACAAAATTCAGTAGATGTGTCAATACAGAGGCACAAAAAGACTTACATTACCATTGTCGCTGTTGTTTGAAGAGTTGATCCTAAAATCATTAGAGTTTAAAAGGCTATGGCCATCATGGAACACTGCTAATTTAACTGTGGTCTTCCTCTCTGTGACTGCCAGAGGTGGTGCAAAGCACAGTTAATACTCCATGTGTATCTACAAGTTGAGATCTAACACCAACAAAGTTACACATGGAAATGACATGTGATTGAATCAGTAATGCTAACACTTTATTCACATGGAACCACCGTTGCATTTGTAACTAGCATTGTGTTTTATTCTTACTGATCGCCAGAGGCAGGGTGAAGATCACAGTCACAAAGAATTGCACTCACCTAGACTGACACTGAGGTAGCCCCAGACAAACTAACGTGCAAGGTGATGAGCGAGTAGCTGCTGTACAGAGACCTTTCACTACTTCCCATGTTGCAGAAAAACTCTGGACAGGGAGATGACAGCAAATCCGGTTGCATTTGCTGGGTGAACTTAGAAATCACCTCCACCACCTAGTGTGAAAGTCTTTGTTTTGATCCTATTTTTGTCACTGAAGCAGACAAATGTTTGGTCTTTTCAGACAATGGCAACAGTCAAGATCACATAGTGCCTCAAAGCCTGGACCATAACAGAGAACATCAAGAATCCTCCTTGTCTGTGAAGAAAGTCAATTGAATACACTGATTTACATTTTGAGGGGATAAGATAAGACCTTATGCAGAAGGTCACAAGGCAGACCTGATGCCACTTGAAATCCACTTGAGGCCTGTTTATGACAGTGACTCAAAGACTGGACCACACAAATAATGTAATAGCAAAGGCAAATTCCATGGCAGACTTCTACATCAAGAGGTGTTAGTGTTTCGCCCTTAAGGAAAGGACTGACTTAATTATGTGCACTCAGGAAATAAATAAGGTAAAAGTATCATCCATATGAAATTTAGGTGTGATTAAGGAACAACCTTAATCTAGTCGGCTCAATAAGAACATAGTACTACAGAGACTTGGTTACACGTCCCATTGCCTTAATAACAGCGCCAATCCTGTCAGGTAAGGATAACAAGTTTTTTGAGTTCCTGTCCATTCCACACAGTTTGTGCCTTATGTCTGAGCAGGACACAACATTGACACTCCCATCATCCAGGGTGACAACTGCAGGTTGTCTGTATGTGCCTCGTTCAACAGACAAGATGGAACTCTGGGATAGTTTGACTGACCAGCAAACTCACCAGACTTCAATTCCACTTTTCAATTTGAAATGGCAGGTGAAATGCTGAAATAGGCACACATAAACTATTGCTGAAATATGCATCCAGTTATGGAAAAAGAACTAAAATGGACAGGAACTACCCAAAGACACTGGTGTAATAATAATCCCCTGACATGATTGATGATTGAAGTATTAGAAAAGAAATGCAGTGTGAAAAATGTTCTTGTCCGGTGGGCTTATCTATACACTAGTTTTCCGATGACAAACACATATGGCCTGATATGTGCTAAATGCAATATATGGCCAAAACTATGTGGACACCCCTCCTAATTATTCAGTTCAGGTGTTTAAGAGTGATGAATCTGAGTTCGGTGGATGCTAGGAGAAGCTACCGACCGAAATGCAAAGTGCCAACAGTAAAGTTTGGGTAATGATCTGGGGCTGTTTTTCAGGGTTTGAGCTCAGCCCCTTAGTTCCATTGAAGGGTAATGTTAATGCTACAGCTTACCACTTTGTGGCAACATTTTGTGGAAGCCTTTTCTGTTCCTGCATGAGCACAAAATCAGCTACATAAAGACATGGTTTGACAAGGTTGGTGTGGTGGAACTCAAGGAGACCTGACCTCAAACCCACTAAATGCCTTTGGGATGAACTGGAACTGGATTTTGAGCCAGGCCTTCTAGTCCAGCATCAGTGTCTGGCCTCACATATGCTTATTTGACTGAATGAATACAAATTCCCACAGACTCACTCCAAAATGTTTTGGAAAGCATTCCAGAAGAGTGGAGGCTGTGGTAGCCAAAAAAAAGGGGTGCACAGGGGGTATAGTGTAGCTTCCCAGATCGTCGGCTCACAGACCATTTGCTGCCACTCTGACCCACTGACCACTTTCTTAACTGATGGTGATCCAGGTGTGGGTGCCTTACTTAATCCCCAAGCTGAAACAGGAGGCACCTTCTGAGTCGGAGGTCCCTCAAGATGGTCAACAGCATTGGGAACCAGTGTCTGCCAGTCCAAAGTGAACACTATTATGAAATATGTTTGCCATTCTGAATTCTGTGTAACATTTCAAGGGTGAGGAGACACAGAGACAAGGTGGAAAGCATCCAGTCTGGCCAGTCTCATTCCAGCATGTCCAGACACAGGGAACAGGTGGATTTTATACAGAGAACCACAGAAAACTATTACTTCAATACATCCATCCCTTACCATATCTATCCCAAATCATCTGGACAACCTCGCCACCCTTCTAGTGTCAGCACTGAGTTTGGCCATTGTCTTGACATGGAGTCTGGAACCTGGTTTCTGGGGTCCAGCAGATAAGTGGCTTGTGGTGAAACTGCAAAGAGTCCAAGTCAGGAGGCAATATGCAAAGCCTATTAATCTCATGTTCATTGTCATGGATGTGGAAACCATAGCTGTGTTGTCGAATTGTAGAAAGTATTTCAGTGTGAAAAAATAGCCCCAGCTGTTTCAAAGCCTCTGATCCATGGTCTGTTTTTTTCTACTCGCCGATACCATGCTGGTGCCAAACCACATCCACAACCTAACAGGGATGCATCAGTCATGACCACCTCTTTGTGCAAGGGCACTCACACCAAAACCAGCCAGGTGAAAATGTTTTCTTCTCCAGGTCACAAGGGCAGTCATATGTCTACCTATCACCATGGTGTGCTTGTGCTTTGCTGGGTACAGATTTAAGCAATGCAGCCACATCTGAAACTGACAAAGCTGCAGGAGGCTGAAGTTGCTGTCATCATGCTTAATACATGTAAGAGAATGAGGAATGTGAGGAGGGTGCCAAGTCTGACTTGTGAAAGGCCAAGAGTGTCTCGAGATTCACTGAGGCCATCATTGAGCATGAGATCAGCCTATGAACTGAATGGTATGAGATGGAGGAAGGGAATTCTTCTCCCAGTCCATGGACAGCCCCAGGCTTGACATGTGCTCCAGTAGAGCCAGAGTGCCTGACACATACGTAGCCAATGGTCCGAGTATGGGAGAATCTTCGCACCATTTTCTCTCAGCATTCACATAGCTGGTCCATAACCCTGAGGCTATCAATTAGCCATGTGGTGCTGATATGACAGACCCTGGAAAGCAAAGCTTAAGGGATAGGAAAATGAAAATTAATGCCCTTTAAATTAGTGCCTCACAACCCTGGTCCTGGAGTGTCCTCTGCCCTGCACATTTTAGTAATCCTCTAACTAATAAGTCCTTCCTGAGTTGACGTGGGTGTGTTAGAGCAGTGAAAACGATAATGAGCATAACCTTCATGGTTCATATGTATAAGGTAAGCACTGAAACTGCGGTATGTAACCCTATTAAATTGTCATGAGCATCTTGGTTTTAGAGGCAATGAGGGATGGCAGGGAAGTGTGGTTGTACAGTGGAAGAAGAGAGATTCGACTTCCAACCTCTCCACTGGACACGAAGGCTAGCAGAGTTCTTAGGGGCACAGACATCCTCTGTGTCAGTAGGGCATATGTATTAAAAGCAGCATTACATGTCATGTCACTGCATTTCTGGTACAAGATCTTGACGTCTGTGCAGGTGCACAGAGAGCATCCAGTGAGTTTTGCCACTGCCATTGGCAAAATAGAGCCACCTTTTCACTTTTTAGTTCAGTCTTACTTTTATTTTGTTCTCTATTCTTGTTCTTTTTAATATGTCTCACAGACAATAGACAGTTTTCTGATTAAGCATGTTTGTTTTGGTTGCTTTAAGAATAAAATCTATACTTGATTCAAATGTAGTGCATCGTAATTGTTAATTCACTTGCCTTTGCAACATGAACAGCCCCACAGAAGGGACATTTACGGTAAAGGCGAAAGAGGAAGAATAAAAGAGAAAAAAGGGGGGAAGAGAGATGGACAGCAATTTTTTCAGTAATTTACAGCATGGCTCACAAGACTAGTGCTTGATTGTCATGGTTGATGTGGTTGAGCCTATTTTGTCAAATGGGAGCATTTTTGAGTTTTCTGTGTGCTGACTGATGGAGATAAAGGCATTCTGTCCCTCCTCCGCACCTTAATGGGAAACCTTTAATGTCAGCTTTTAACCACCCTTGAAAAAGGAAAAAGAAACAAACAATTAAAGTATTTTTTAAAAAAGTGAAGCAGCCATCATGGCATACCAAAGTTGATTTAAAAGAAAGTGTACGTATGTATGTAGGTTAATCTTTTTAAAAAATTATAATTGCGAGCAAGATCAAATTTTAGCACAAGGTGGGCTATGCCAGTCCTGGAGGGCTGGAGACCCACACATATTGGTGATTCAGCAGCTATAACACATCTACTAAACCTAATAATTAAGGGATGAGTTAAATCAGGTATGGTTGAACAGAAAAATCACCAAAATGTGCATTAAGTCCAGTCTCTGCCATGCCTACTTCTAACCCCCTAGAACACCATCGGTCCTAGAGGGTTACAAGTAGGCATTGCAGAAAAGTGTTATATGTGTCTTTTGGTACAGACTGGAGGAGGTAGGGACGGCGGGCCAGTATGGAGTGCTCGTGGAAGACAGTGCTGCTGTTGGTGTGCGCGTCCCTGGGGGTGCAGTACACTGCCATCCGCTCCCTTCAGGACTTGTTCCCAGGGCCATGCCAGGACTCTGGACACTGCCAGGGACGCGTGGGCAAAGGTGAGTCACAGAACCGTCAGCACTGCTAACAGTGACGCCAGCTGAGTTTACAGTGGAAATGTGCTGTAGCTCTGCGCAAAGTAATAAGATGTTTGCAGAAATGTTTAATAGCTGTTGTTGAGTGTGTATGTGGGGGTTGCCATACGCCTCACATGACTAAGGGTCCCTAAACATGCTCTCATTGGATCAGAAGGATAATACGGGCACTCCTCTGTCACAAATTATTATTATTATTATTATTATTATTATTATTTGTAGTAGTAGTAGTAGTAATAGTAGTAATAGTAGTAGTAGTAGTAGTAATAGTAGTAGTACCAATAATAATAATAACAACAGCAGTGTTTTTCTATAGATTAATTCCAGTCCTGGAGGCAGGGGTGCAAATTTGGTGTAATAAGTGGTGGGGCAACATCAGGTGGATAATTACGCTCTAAATTAAAACTAGGTGAAAAACTACACTTGCAGTTAGAGTTATGATATTGTCATATATCTACTGGTAATGCTTTTAATGGCAAATCAATATCAAAACACAATAACAATAATATTATGAACAATATTATTAACTAATAATATTGTTAATAATATTATGGATTTTATGTTTTGATATTACATTTTGGGTGCAAAAATCGCAAGAGCTCCAATTTATTTATTTTTAAATTATTTATATTTCAGCCTATATTATTCACAGTTGTCTTAACACATTTTAAGTGGAGAAATTTAACCTAATAATGCAGAGCCTCTAGCAGTCTGGCACGTTACATTCACCTTTCAAGATTCAAGCCTGAAAAAAATTGTCTTCTTAGCCAAAAAAAGCCCTGGAGCTTAATTTATAAAAAAAAATCACATTTACATCATCATATTGGTCAGAAAATTGTAACGCACAGACGAACAAGACATTGCTGACTATAACTAAAACTGTGACTGGCTGTGTTGTAATAGTGAGTTTAATTTTTTTTTATTGGAAATATTTGATATTTGCAAACCTCCAACAGCCCTTTCACAACACCATTCGGAATGCAATGATATGTCTACCTATAAGCTTGAAGTGTCAGACTTTCTGAAAAATCAACATTTCAAATGTGGATATTCTATAGTGTAAATAGACAGTAATAATGTAATGTTGATAGTAGTAGAAAGTGGTGAGGTTAGCTGTTAGGCTAGCTGATCGCTGCTGCACACAGCCAGAGACTGTTTTCCCTTCACCTTAGTGTGCGTGTGGTGCGTCTTCATTCAAGCAGCCACTCTGTGTTGACAACAATATCACTAGTGTGGGAGATTTTATTTAAATGTCACTTTTAAAATGTCACAAATATAATGTTAATTTTGTGACAGTCATTCTTTGACCCTGCAAATTTATCTCATATTGGGCCAGATTCATAAAACACACCTCCAGATTTATGGTGACATTAAGAGAAAATAGCGTGGAGGTAACAGGTTTGCTCATTCATAAAAGAGGATTACTGGCATTTACCGCGTGTGCGCTGTGAGGCGTTGCTGCATGATTCTCTAGTTTACATGCACCAACAGAAATTATTCACACGGCACAATCCCACAAAAAATATGGTGATTTTTTCTCCGTAAACCTTGTAACTGCTGTTGTAGGAGCACACGAGGAGGAAGACTTGCTTGAGATTGATTTCACATTGGCAGATTTAAACAGCACTGCACCTAAAACAGCCTCTTCTTCCTTCTTCCAAGTTCCATGTTTGGTAAATCCCCTTCTGTCAATGCAAAGCAGGTTTAGCTTGTAATCCAAATAAGTGAAGAGTAATTTGACATGCTCAGATTCTAATTACATGTTCAAATTGATTTTATTGCAAGTACTTCTAACTTTTAATCCTAATTTTACAATGGATTTTACACAGGAATTCAATTGTGTATGTGAAAATGACATTTTACTAGAAATATTCACATCTTGCAAGTAAAAGCTAATTTTTATTAGTCATAATTTACTATTTGGAAGTGAAAATTGATATCAATAATTAAATATTTACTAGCTGAAATTGTTGAATAGTTGAAGTAAAATGAATTCCTGAGATCAAGAAAAATACAAAATAAAAGCTAAAATGGCTTGCCATAGTAATCAGAATTTCAGCATGACAATAAATTGGAAAAATGCTTAAATTCTTACCAGTGAGAAATGAAATCTGATTTGCTAAAATATAATCCCTACATTTAAAAGTTAATTTAAAGATGGTATAATTTGATGTTTATAAATGTGTCTTTTTTGTAGTTTCAACATTTTCTAATAAAAAAATATATATTTAGTTTGTTAAAGACGGTTAATACCATCTTTAACAAACAATTTACTCTTATTCACCAGTATTTTTCATTGTATCCATTTTAGTTGCCAACTGGAGCTTCGCTTGACTTTAATATGGGTCTTTAATATGTAATTTTTCATTGGCTCTTGCCTAGGACACGGGTGAAAATACAGTAGTGTCAAAAAGACACCATTGCGCTCATCACCAGCACTTTGACTTCATGAATAAGTTTTATTTACTGCTCCACACATTTTGCATGGTGTAGCACTGTTACCACCAAGTTTTATGAATCTGGTCCATAATTTCAAAACCTTATTTTGCACCAGAGCCTGGAGGGCATAATACATCACTTTCTCAAATTACATCATTTAACACACCTGATTCAACTCATTAGCTAATTACAAAGGTCTTCATGCATTGAATTTGAGTGTGAGAAAAGAAAAAATGCTAATCTCTGAAGGGCTGTGCTCCTCCACAACCTGAGTTTGACACCTTGCTATAGATCATTACCGTTCATATTCAAAGTGTGTCTACCAGCAGAGGGCAGCCATATCTCCTCCTAAATTCATCCACTTTTCCTGATGTGCTGCAAATGTGTCATCACCATTTCTGCTGCACAGTTATTGTACATCAAGTGCCAGATTTGTGCGGCAGTCTAACTCTACCCAGAACATAGTTTGAGGGCCATTTACAGGTGCTGCTTGAAATCATCTCAGAGGATCCTCACAAGGCTCAGCCCAGCTGATACCTCAAAGCCTGAGTTCTCTACTTTGTTTATTTATGAAGAATGAAATTAACAGTAGTCAGCTGGGAGAGGGCTGATAAATACAGCAAGGGATTCCCTCTTCATCCCAGGCAACACCGGAGAGAGAAAGATATAATATCAGTAATTTATTTCACAGTCATCTCATAATTTATCTGCAGTAATCTGCTCTCATAGAGCAGCTGTTTGCACTTTCAGCAAGCGCTTCCTTGCACACCCTAATGTCCCATGCGCAATCAACTCCTCATCAGTTGTAATTACATGTTATCACTCTCACTCTCTGTGCTATATTTAGAGATTATTACTTTCAAATTTCAAGCCAAAAACAGTCAAATGTCTGTCTCTCACTGTGACGTTCAAGGATTTAATTGTTCTCCACATTCCAGGCCTGCATATTTTGCCATTTTTTTAGTTTCTGTAAAAAAAGGCAAAGGTATTTTTTTTTCATAAGGAACATTCAAGAAAATTGAGTGCATAGCTGCTGTTATACAAAGTTGGGTAATTTGACACACAGCGTAACTAATATAAAAAAATTTAAATGTATGGAAAACACACATTCATCATTTCTGTGAGGTGATATACCCCAAAACTTAAAAAGAGGGGACCATGACCAAACAGATTACATAATTGAATAAAAAAATTGTTTTTTTTTTTTAATTACAGAAACATGAAAAAGGAAACATAAGAGAGAAAAATAATCTTATCCGATCAACATGTTCACACAAACACATATAACCTCACAGTGGTGAGGTTGAGAACACTCGCAGGTGTCTTTCCCCTCTAACACAGACTTGGTAAAGCAGTTATAGCTTTATGCAAATTACATGTAAAATAGGCATACACAATTGCTGATTCATTATTACAAATCAAAACTATTATAATGCAGACTTGGTTGGGTTTAGAAACTAAACTGATCACAGTGTCATTGGTGAGATTCAATCAACAAAGGTAGTGTCCCTCATGTGCATCTTAACAACGTCAAGAAGAGTCCCTCACGCCAAAAGCCTTGAGGTCATTTTTCACCCAGTTATGCAATCATGTAAAAACACAGTTCCAACTCCTGTACCATAGGCTGCTGCCATGTCTGGTAGGATAGATTGGAGATTGGCATGAACAAGTCTATATCTCATATCATAGCATCCTTCTCCAGAAACATGTCACATGCCTCAAAGAGACACAATGGCCAAAAATGGCCAAACTTGGGTAGTTTGAGCTTGTCAATTTACTTGTATATGTCTAAAGAGAAGTGCTTAATTTAAAAGCTCATTTTAAAGCTTATTAAAACATATCAGATAGAAATTGGTATAGGCTGATACTCAAGGTTTCAATACCGGATTCGGAAACACAATACAGGGCAGCCATTCAGAACGGATATAATTCACATATATCTTTCATAAAGGAACTGTAACAAACACAGCCTGTGTATTTCTAAGGGATGAAGGGAGGTTGGGAAATGGTCGTGTAAAAATGAATTATGACTGTTTTTGGCCATAAACCCACACATATAAGTGAATAAGTGGAAAAAAAGAAAAGAAACGAAGAAAACGTAGGATCTAAGCCCTTTAATGAAGTAGAGTAATTGCCTGTTTTAGTGTTTTGTATGCTCTGAATCCTCCATGGCCCAACTGAGCCTTAAATTCATCGAATCTGACTGTCTCCTTCTGTTCCCAGATCACAGATGGAAATTCTCTTGCGACGACAACTTTGTACCCGCAGAGCGTAGCAGCGCCTCTGCTCGGAAGCACATCCTTCTTTTTGCACAAACTCGCTGTGGCTCCTCCTTCACTGGCCAGCTGTTTAACCAACACCCTGAGATCTTCTACGTGTTTGAGCCACTGTACCATGTCCAGCAAACCTTCACCAACTCTAGCAGTCGTCTCCGTAGAGTCCTGGACAGCCGGGCTCTGCTGGGAGCCTACAGAGACCTCCTCCTCAACCTGTACACCTGCGACCTCACCTTCCTGGAGAACTACATCCGGCCTGAGCCGCAGGATCACGTTACGGCTTCCTTCTTCCGCCGGAGCTCCAGTCATGCTCTGTGCTCACCGCCCGTCTGCCAAGAGGGCGGAGAGGAGATTCAGGCAGGGCAACCGGATGAGACCTGGTGTCCCAAAAAATGCCGGACCTTGAACCTCACCTTAGCCTCGATGGCTTGCCAGGCCCGAAACCACGTTGCCATAAAGACAGTGCGGATCCCTCAGGTCGGAGATCTACGGACACTGTCAGAGGACCCACGTCTGGATTTGAGGATTGTCCACCTGGTAAGAGATCCCAGGGCCATCTTGGCCTCTCGCATGACTGCTTTTGCCGATCAATTCAGGGCCTGGAAGATCTGGAACGCCACAGACCGGCAGCCACGTTACGTGGACTTGACGCAGATCACCAGAACATGCCGAGACATGGAGTATTCTGTGGAGACCGGTCTGCAGAGACCAGCATGGCTGAGGAGACGTTATCTGCTGGTGCGCTACGAGGACCTGGCTTTAAATCCTGAAGACAAGGCCAAGGAAATCTACAGATTCCTGGGCTTAAATATAGGCAATAGAGTTCTCACATGGATTTCTCAAAACACTAATGCCACTGCCCCATCTTTCACTGAGTGGAATTACAAGTACTCCACCAGTAGAGATTCTAAAGCTACAGCCCACAGCTGGAGACAGCGTCTGGGCTTTGACATTGTTAAAACAGTGCAGACTTTATGTAACACTACCTTTGCCTTATTGGGCTACAAGCTAGTACAGTCTGAGGCGGAGCTGAGGGACCTGACAAACAGTTTAGTAGAACCCAGAACATTTTAGAACCTAAAGTTCAATCTGGAACAGTTTCTCACCAATGTTTGAATTGTTCGACATACTGTGCATCGTTTCTTATTCTAGTCATAAATTAATTTCACATCCTCATCACCATATCCTTAGTCAGTATCATGATGTTTATGGTGGACAAAATTTTGGATGCATTAAAAGAAGATGGCAATAAATGTGTACACTACTGTTCAAAAGTTTGGAATTAGTTGTCATAGTAATAATTGGTGTTCCTCTATTCAGAAATAACCCATACAGTATAGATGTAGGCCTGTAATAATTATTACATAATCATCTGATCACAGTTGTCTAAGCTGACCGTGATTCGTTTCCACAGCTTTCAGATTTTACAGTCATATACCCATGCCAAACCGAATGTGCATTTGGTGTCTTTTCATCAGTTGTTCTGAGGCAAGTAATGAAGTATAGCAAAAAACACAAACAATGTTAAGCAAAAAACGCACAACACATAGTTCTTACAAACACAACAAAAGTGCTAACTTCTAACTTAGAAGCTGGTGTAACTTGCTGTAACTGCCATAACACCTTTAGAGGGCAGCAGTGAGTAATGTTTGTTTATTTGAGCTCGAGCTGTGTTTGTCATCAGCTGGAAGTTGGAAGTATCAACATCTACAAGCAAGATAACTACTCAGTCAGTTTGGCCACTTTGGGCTTGAATAGTTGTATACAATGATGAAAATAAGACAATTACATTGTTAATTGCAGTTAATTATATGGCAGTTAATCACCAGCTACAGGTTCATGATTGTGACAGGCCAGTGGAGACTTGCTAATGACTGATTGCATTAACATGCTACTAAGAATCTGTCTTCATTTACAGTTTTCCTCAGCTGCTAAACACTAAACACAGATGCTGAAACACATTCACACATTCACACATTTTCCTTCTACAATGCCCTAATATCCCCAAATCCCCAGAATGTGCCAATTTTGAGTCTGCCTTTGTTGGAACAAGTTATTATAGATTTAAAATGAAGAGAAAATGGCAGATGTGATGGCAGAAAGTAACAGTGAAGAGGTGGTAGATTGTTATGTTATTATTGAAATGATTTAACCATTAAAACATATGGAACATGTTTTATTAAAATGTCAAGTTTTTTGGGGAAAGATGATAAGATGATAAATGACAAGTAATATGCTGTATTTAAGTTATCTGCTTCAAGATTTGATCTCCACTTTTACATTCAACGTGTTCTGGAGGTAAATTTTATCATAACAGTCTTACGTTTTTTTATATTTATTATTATTTTCCAAATTTTTGAACAGTAGTGTATGCAGTTGTCACTTTTTAAAGCAGGACAAACAGAAATAAACCAACGTCCAACCTAGTCATGTTATTACAATCCAGTGCAAACAGTAAACTTTGAAGGGAATGTTGGCAAACACTTTTTGTTAAAGACCCAGGGAACCTAAATCTGTGTTTTCTTTCTGATTAGAATAATCTTGGTCTTGCAGGCAAACAGTGAACATGTCCTAAGTACATACTTTGAATAATGTTCCAATGACCAATAAATGACCGATATATTTGACCATATTTCTCTCCTCGTGATGTAAACTGGGTGGTCCTAATCTTGGGTAAAGCTTCCATAAGCATTCCCCTCACCAACCACAAGACTGGTGACTCTTGCCCCGCCCACACAAAACAGTTTCGGAGTCAGAGACACTCAGTGAGCTAAAGCTAACCCAGTATAACCAAAAGCTAGCAAGCCAGACCACCTGTCTGTAGCTGCCCGTTGCCCACTCATTCGTTTATCCAACACCAACATTCATTCTTCCAGTCCTTCATTCACGCTGTACTTTGTCCATCTGTTTGGTCATTCGTCCGTGACTTTTTTGACTTATTTTACTTTTGATCTAGTAGGCTAGGGGTGTTGAACAGAGAGCTGTAAATCAAGCTGCTCATTAACCATGCCCACAAAGTTCTCAGATAGGTCTGATCAGTGTTTTTTAAGCCATGTTTTCTCATATTTTTCTATCTTATATTTTTTTGCTGGATGTTTAACATGACACTCATGTTCAGTATCATGAAAACATTTTTAATATTTTACCCTGTGTTCCCTGGGACTTTAAATATCACCTTGTAATTTCACGGTCTTAAATATGTCAGTGCTTCAGATGATAACAGTAACCAAGTGGTTGGATGTGCATCGCTGTTTTCTCTTTCTTTCTCTCTGTTATCTCTCGTTACTCTGTTAAGGATTTAATGAGAATGTATGAATCACACTCATAGTCATCAACGTATGAATCACACACTGCTTTTTCAATAATGCTGGAATTAAATGCTGCCGAATGATCAGTGCCTCGCCTCAGGTATGAAGCCTCAAGAAAAGAGGACATACATTTCCACAAAAGATATGGTATCTTCTTGTAGACTAAAGCGTTGGACGTAACTTCTACACTGTGGTTGCTTGGGAAGAATCCAACAAACAAACACAGTGGTGATTTGCGCACCATGTTGTTTTTATTTCATGCATATTTAATATGTACATCTATTAAATGGTAAAACATTAATCTTGAGGTTTTGATGTAAGTTTCTGTTGTTACTGTGCAGTACGCAGGGTGAGAAATAGCTCTGCTCTCCTTGCTTTTGACACATCAGTGTTGTTATGCTGAGGCTGGAACTATTGGTAAGTGCTGACCATCATTTCAACTTCGGTGCAGCAGAAGGCCAACGTCAGCACAAAAATGTGCATCAAAGAATGAGATTAGCAAGAGATAATGTCTATAGCTCACAACCCTTTTGAAGTTCCTGTCAGTTGCTTGGATTCTGAGTAGAAAAATCGTTGGCGTTTACCACATTCTTGTTGGAAGTAATGGTCCAGCAACTAAAAGGGTTGAGGGTTTTCTGCTGTCATTCTATGGCCTGTTTTGTCTAATTGTGTTGTGGTCATTGAGCATTAACCACCTGGGAGGAATAGCTAATGACTGTTATTGCATTAACATGCTAACTAAGAATCTGTCTTCATTTACAGTTTTCCTCAATTGCTAAACACTAAACACAAATGCTGCAACACATTCACAGTTTCACACATTTAGCTTCCAACAGGGGTGTCACTTGAGATTTATGGATAGGGGGCTATGCCTTTACTAAGGGGGTCTGGAAGCATGCTCCCTCGGGAGGATGTTTATTAGTGGCCCCAAAATATCTGTTCATGAAATTTTAGGGTTTATGTTTTAGAGTTTAAATTTCTGAGTTGGCACACAAGATATCTTTCTTCATAGTGTATTAAACACAGACCTTTTATGACTTTTATAAGCTGCAGGTCCTAAATATGTTATTCAAATACACAGATTATAGATTGGTTTTTGCCACCAGATAGAGTGTGATTTTGTTATGTAGTTACATGTTTAATGTCTAGGTGATCTGCTCATAGTGAGATCTGAGAGCACAACAATATATCATCTCAATTTTTTATTTAGTCTCATAAATGGGGATATATTAAAGGAGTACCATTTCCACAAATTCAGTAATCATTTTAAATTAAGATTAAACAACACTCACTTGCTCTCTTCTTGACCACCATCTTTTACCAAACCTGCTTCTTCAGCTCTCTCAGTCTCCTTCAGCTTCTTTCTCTCCCTCTCGTTGCCTGTTTAGTAACATTATTTTTATTAAATTCAGATTTACAAGAACTCAATGATCAGTGGGCCTCATTCACCAACTGTTCTTAAAAAGAAAATTATTCTTAAAACCCACTTATGCAGTTTTCACAAAGATTCTGACATTCACCAATGTTTTTATTTTATCTGGAATTTGTTTTGAACACATCATGAATCTGTTGTAGACTTTTTCTTAGGACCTTTCTCATGAACAAATTTAAAAAAAAACATAGGAAGATATTGGTGAATGAGGCCCAATGTGTTCATTTTTTTGTTTGAACTGGCAAAACTCTCACCTGACTGGCCTTCAAAAGAGCTGACACCTCTTCTCTAGCATCTACAGATTGAGGAATTGAGGGACAAAATATAGCTATATACTGTTTTATACAGTATATAGCTATATTTTGGTTTTGAAATACTTAATAGGAATATGACAAACAAAAAAAATCTGTGAAGTTTCTTAAATTTTCAAAACAGTTGGCTCCTCAGCTAGCTAACGTTCATGCTTTATAGCTGATCCTGTTTTCTTTACCTCAGACAACCGGCTAGAAACTCCATAGCCAGCTGAACTGACAACAGTTTACATCCATATTGTAGGTAGATAACTTTACTCTGTAACTGCTTACTGATTCAGACTGTATATCGTATATTTTACATATTTATATAGTTTGAATGAGGCCTAATCTTTATTTTAGTACGCTTTGAGCTAAAACCCCGTCACATCTTCAGCGGTTGCCGACTGAGTGAGTAGCAGCAGAGCCCCTACCCCAGGTCTGAGATGATTGGCTAACAATTTACGAGGTCTGATATGATTTGCTGAGCCGCCTTTACACGTTTTCCCAAGTATACACAGCAGAGGGTTGGCTTCTCCTGCTAGAAAATCTCTGGTAGTCCGCTGAAGCAGTAGTGGATTAGAGCAGCAGAAGGGAGGTGAAGGTGGGAGTTTCCCACCAGAAATTTTGAACATAATTAAAGTGACATAGCAGAAAAAAAAACTTTTTTTAATCCATTAATTGCTGTCATATAGCGTAAAATCATATGTCTACTATGTATAGAATTAAAGGGGAATTCCACAGAATCTCAAAAACTTCTGCATGATAAAACTATTACAATGTAAAGGTCCACTGTGAAGAAAATTACTGACAAATTATTTAATTTGTTTGTAGACAAAGATAAAAATAAGGTACCCTTTCTTTGAAGAGAAGCATTGATGACAATATGATTTTGATTCTCTTCATGTATTTGTGTAGGTGTATGGGGTCATGCATTCTAAGGTTAATGATTTAACTATGCAGAAAGTTTGAAAAATCAGTGGAATTCCCCTTTAACTACTTGATATGATTTCACTAAAGTAGACTGAGATGTTTTGCTCCTTTGACACTTAGACAATCCATACCCTAGTTAGTAA